TACGTTTATTTTCCACCTGGAAATTTGTATAAAAACTTCCATACGCCATGCTGATGCCGTATATATTTTTTTATAATTAGTAAATATACTTGAGAAAGAAATTATTTTTCTTCATTTATCTTCATTAATAATTCATTAATTTGGAATTAAATTGTATATTTTCTAGTCACAATTGAATTCCGTCACCGAAAATTGAGGATTTAGGGGGAAATATAAAGAGAAATATCAGTTGCATTATTCCCTCGTAGTGAAAAGCTCACACGGAACTTTTGAATTTTTAAATTTTGCAATTATACATGATTTTCAGTGAATTCCGAAATTTTATGATTTTATCCTCAAATGGCATGCCCATTACATTTTAGAGTTTACCCCAGACTCTTGGAAAATTCCACCTTGATTTAATTACAATCACAATTATTTATATAATTATGTAATTAGAATTGTATTTTCACCACAATTAAATCATGAAATCGTTTATTACAAATTACAAATAAATTTGAAGAAAAAATTGTTATTTAAACCGAGTTTTCTCCAAAAGTTTAAAAAATTGTAACGAGGATTTTTTCCAATTATTTATTTATTCCTGGAATACAATATTTCCACCTCATTACTTTGATGGAGCATAAAAAATGATGACAAGTCCATCTTCATCGATCGAGAGTAATGGTGATGGTCCCCTCGACTATTTTTTGGGATAGCCAACTGATAATTCATCAGTTTTCCTTCCTGAATGTGTCATGTCAAGACCACAAATGTCGCGGAAGTGTGAAGGGAGTGTAATTACCCCCACGATTAGACCCCTTAAGCTACGGATATTCTGTAATCATCAGCTACATTAAATATTATTGTCCATTCAATTTTAGATTCGCGGAATTTTCTTCATAATTTCATTGCTGAATCTAGTCTCCTGTCAACTAGACCTGCCTCCCCTCGGGAATGACCGTTTTAATGACAATTACAACAGGAATCAACAGGATTACAGCAGAAATCGACAGGATTATGACAGAAATCAACAGGATTTCAACAGAAATCAACAGGATTATGACAGAAATCAACAGGATTATGACAGAAATCAACAGGATTACGACAGAAATCAACAGGATTTAAACAGAAATCCCCAGGATTTTGACAGGAATCGACAGGATTATAACAGGAATCAAGGGGATTTCAGTAGAAGACCAATCGAGCCTGATTACCGACAAATTCTAGCCAAACTAGATTTTCAGGGAACTGAGAGATGCAGTGCTAATGTTGCTGCCCAATGGGCCTATGAGACTAATGTTAATGAGTACACGCAACTGCAAGCGGTGAGTTAATGATTTTTTTTCCATTTTCT